TGTTTATTTTAAGATTATAAAGGTTATTTTAGTTATTGACAAGTTGGGGATTAAAGCATAAACAAGAATATGTAAGTTATACAGAAGGTTTGCAAATATTGTCTGTAAGGAAATAGGACACTTCAAATGAGGAACTGACTGATTAGATATAAGATACAAAGTAAGAGGAAAATATGGTTTAAAAGACATGTGTTTAATATAGAATCATTTTGCAAGTATTAATTTCTCTGGTGTAAAGAGAATTGACCAGTTTCTTAAAAATCTGTATAAGGCTCCACTTAGAAAGAGGCCTGTTGCAAAATGTAATGCAGTATAATACAAGGTGCACAGTTTCTACAGTTCGGTGTTACTTGGCAACATGAAATGTGGGACCCACATTCAAGCGAGCTGCAAATTGTAAAATTGACTATTTTGATCAAATGTAAATTTTTAAACTGTACAGATACACATCTGTACAAGTTACTTGAAATCACTTGAATAGTTTTTTTTTTTTTTCTATTGCAATGCTTTTCTAAATGCAAAAAGTTTTGCTCAAAAATAAGGTTAAAAAAATTAGCCATAAAATACTATGAGTTTGCAGCTTCCAAGGAATATGAAAATTATAAATTCATATAAAGATATTGAGATAAGTTATTTTTTTAGAGAAATTTACTGTTCACGTTCCATGTAGAATTTTTAATTCTCACATCATTTAGTTAATCTGTGTAAAGTTATTTTGTGATTAGAAATTTTATCAAATTTTTTCAAGATACAACAATTTTAAGCCAAATGATTGAATGTGTGACAGATTTGATGCTATTACTTGAATGAATTAATTGGCAGTTGATAAGTATTGCTTGGGTGGGAATGAACAAAAAAGATAGTCACTGAGGTGATACTAAGTAAAGATTCTTAAATACTACTTACTGAAAAGAACAAATTTATGGATAACAAAAATATGGCTGCAAAAAACTTGAATAATCAAGTCATTTGGCTCGGTCAAATGCCCCTTGCATTCTATCGTAAAATGAATACTGTGGTGCTAAACATTTCAAAAATAAAAATCACACTTACACATCCTATGTAGAACTTAAAAAAGAAAATACTGTGTGTAGTTTTATGAAAAGAAATATGAATTATGAAAAGTTTAGTGTGTGGAACTATGCTCTGAATTGCTGGAGTGTGCAATTTCTGTGAGAAGTCATGATATTGTTTTCTGCTTTTGAATATCTTTTTATCCTTACCTTTTGTTGATGGCAGTTAATATATTACTTGTGTCACTATTCTGAAAGATGCTGCTACATGTTGGGTAAGCAATGTGATTGGGGGGGACTGCAGTTCACACATTTCTATTATCGATAATTGCACCTTTTTTTTTTCATTTGTTCTTGGAATAAAGTTGTGATGTCATTCTTAATAATCTATTCATATGAGCTGTTTCGGTATCGTCCTTTTATGGGTGGTATAATTTTCCAGGTTGTTACGATTATGAGACGATGATTGTTCTGAAAACTTAAAAATTTGACTTTGTGGTGTTTTTTGCATTTATTGTGTATGGTTTTATGCAGCTTTAACCTCAATGTATTGGACGGAAATTATATTATTTTCTATAAATGAAAGCTATTATAAAGAGATAAAACATGTTTCTCACAAATGTAACTTAATTGGAGGTTTTCTTTATTATTATTTTATAATCACTGTTCTGACACTATTCATAGAAGAAATCACAATTAATCATTCTTTTTACTAAATCATGATTCAAAATTCATTTTCAGGATACAACATGTAATAATTAATTTAATTTTAAATCCATAACTGTGAATTTATGATTTTTAAAATTGTTTTTAATAAATATCATTTACTGATTTGTAAGAATTGTTTTCCATATTTTTGTTTTTAATGCATAATGTTTCATAAAATAACAAATATGGTTTTATTTTAACAAGGTTCTTACTCCTGAAGAATTGAAGGCTGCTCAAGAAGCTGTTGCTTATGGCTGCATTAAATATGCTGATCTGAGTCACAACAGAGTGCATGATTATGTATTCTCTTTTGATAGGGTAATTATATTGTTTTTATTTATGAACTCAATATCTTCCTTTATTTTTTACTTACTAAATTTTCTTTTTGTTTAACAGATGTTAGATGATAGAGGAAATTCTGCCGTATATTTATTATACTCTCTCGTTAGAATCAGGTAAAAAAAAATTTCATTTTCATTCGAAATACATATCTATGATCCAATTTTTCTTTAAATTTTATATGCAAGAATCTTTAATTATTACTATTAATTACATACAGATGTTGTATACGAAATTAATAATGAAAATAAATAGCAATATAAACTTTCTATATATTTCTACAGATCCATTGCACGAAATGTGAATATTGATGAATGCACATTGAAAGAATCAGCAAAGACTACCAAAATAGAACTCATTCATGAGAAAGAATTAAAACTTGCAAAGATTATATCAAGATTTCAAGAAATACTAATTAATGTTATAGAAGAGTTATCTCTGCATACACTTTGCGATTATTTATATGAATTATCAGTCACTTTTTCCGAGTTTTATGATAACTGTTATATTATTTCTAAAGAATCAGGTAAGATTTTATTTGTTGCTAAAAGTTTACATCTCTAAAGTTATTATAAATATTTAAAGTTATTTATATATATTTAATAAAAAATTGAAAATACCTATTTTGTTAAATAATCCCACAGAATTTTTAAAATTTGTTTATATTAAAATAAGTTTGCTACCAAGATAAAATATCCTGCAAATCAAAGAAATTATTTTTCTTAAAAAACATGGAAGTTAAAAAAATAAATATTATAACAATTTATCTTTTAAATACCAAACTTTCAAAATGATCACATTATTAGGTATCTCAAATGGAATGTTCATAATATCTACTTTTCAAATTCTATTATAATTTTATTGAAGATAGTTCTTAAAATACAGTCTTTTATTTTAATGTTTATTTAAATGCATAATGTGAAAAAAATTAAATTTGTTATGCGATTTTGTCTTGATAATAAGGATATGGTCAGTATAGGTTTTTTAAAAAAATTTAGAATTTTATAATCCGAAGAAATAGGTTATTTAATTCAAATCTATTAAAAAAAATGTTTATATAAATATTTTTAGATGAATGCCATGGTATTAGCATTCTATGAAACTATAAAAATTTCCAAATATCATGCTTGAAAAGAAAGAAGCTTTTATATAAACTTGGGATATGCTGCTGCAATTCAAACCTACATTACATTCATACAGACTGCTGAACATTTTACGGCAAGCTTACGAGTGATTGTCTACGACCTGAAGTTACATAATTTAAACCATTTATTTAATCATTTTGATTGTTTTTAAAAGTAAAGATGCTTTAATTATACACTGGTGAGCAAAATTTAAGGGCTCGGCAGTTTTTCAAATGTAATATGCAAAGGTTTTTTACATTGATCCAAATCATAAGATCTCCAAAATGTGACAACTGAGCAAAACCATCTAAACAAGAAATCAAAAGGCACTTTATTGAAAAGGTAGCTTCGAACATAATTGGAGAGAAGACGAAAATTTCCATGTAACAAGTGCCTAGGAAGAAAAATCCTGTATTTAAAAGATATGATCATCTCTGTGATGCAGGAATTGCAATATTTTTCTATGCTCCGGAAAAGGTGTTGAGGTATCGCAAGTTATTCCCTCTTCTAGTGTCAATTTCATTGGTGACGGCTACTCGTATGCGGCCATCTCCTGAGATGGTCTCGTATGTGTTCTATGGGATGTAGGTTTGGGGGCCTTACAGGTCAGTCTATGTGGTAAATGTCTTCACTCTCCAAGAGCTCTGTGACAATTATTATATAATGAGGTGTAGCAATGACATCCATGAAAAGAAAGTCAAGACTCGCAGTACCTCTAAACGGATGGACATAAGATAAGAGAACTTCCTTGAAAGATGTGGAGATCAGTATGGCTGTCCAAAGTGGCCCCTTTCGATGATGTTTGAGTGTCAATTACATGTTTCTTTCTCTCACCAACTGTTTATACATCCAGAATTGCTCATGCATAATCCCATTGCTGTTCTGTCCCCAACATCACAGAAGTTAGCGTTTTTGATGAACTAGCCAACCATTGCTGAATGCTCAAAGAGCTGTTTCTGCCATTTTAAACCTGGAGTGATCCAAACACATATCACTTCAACCTTTTTATTTGACCATATTGCTTGGTAGCAATTCAGCTTTGTTGAAATCACTGTGCAATAGCTCATCATACACCACCTGTTTGGTTATAAACATTTCCTTATGCCATGTGTCCTACTGTACCAGTCCATCTCATGATTGGGCTTTTGCCTTGTTCTACTTTTATAGTAACCACCACCATTATATGATTGGCAATATTCCATCTAGTTGATACAAAAATGCTAAAAAGCTATTTATCCTTATCCATACACTTTCCTTAGGGTAATAAAAATTTATGCACTAACCTTTTAAATTGAAGATTTTCTATGTATTGGAGTTAAATATAGTGATTTCTATATTATATGTAATGTAATATTTCTTTCTTTTTCAGGGGAGATAAAGGATGTGAACATGAGCCGTTTACTTTTATGTGAAGCAACAGCTAGCATAATGACAACAGGATTTCATATTTTGGGACTGAAACCTGTTGCTAAAATGTGATTTTTTTTTAAATAAATATATTTGGACTTTCAATATTATTACATACATACCAAATATTTTGTTTGTTGTTGTTTCTTATCCCACTTGGCTGGCCAAGCCCATATGGACTCTTGATTGAAGGGGAAGGAAGCAGCTCCTGTTGTGATGGAGCACCCCGTAGGTAGAAGCCTGACTTTTGCTCCGTGACGCTCTTACAGTCATAGAAGACCGGGACCTACGGCTTAAAGTGGATTCCGAACCACTACAAACATCCATGGCACCGCTGGGATTCGAACCCGAAACCTGTGACACCGAGCGCCAGACACTCGGCCATTCAGGTCCCAAATTTGTGAATGCCAACGGCACGCGGTGTTCCCAGGTGGTCACCCACCCAAGTACTGACCACGCCCAATGATGCTTAACTTCGGTGATCTAACGAGAACCAGCCAAATATTTTAACCTATATAAAAGTCATTCAAGTATCTTTCGAACATAAATGTCCCCGCCCCCCGCCTGTAAATGTCAGAGAAATGAGCAAGTATAATATTAAAGATATTTCATACAAGAACAGGTTTATTACAGATAAAAACAATTACAGTTTCTTAAGACTGCTTGACATGTATCTAATAAGCTTTTTCCATTACAAATAAAATTTTGCTAAAAATGCATAAAATTTAAAATTAGTTTTAATAGCACACTGAAATGAATTTTAATAATGATGAATCATTATACATACACCTTGATGATTTTAATACAAATTTATCACAGTGAAATGGTTTAAAGTAATATACAATAAATGCTGTTTTCTGAACTACTTGTGTTCCAAAAGCCTTCTTTTATTTAGATATTCTTATGTGTTCAACCAAGTTCTTTAGTCTTCAGTAGTTATTTTTTCCAAGAAAGAATGTGCCACAAATCTATTTTCAGAAACAGCATAATCATAAGGCATAGGTAGATTTTTAATAGAGCTAGCTAACGTAGTTAATAAATTATTGTTATTTGTCCTGCTAGCTTGAAGAATTGAAATAGACTGGAGTATAGTAGCAGTTTTCTTTGCCATTTCAGCTATGCTTAATCTTAAAGGTAAAAACATATTAAGACTTAAAAATTGTAAATGCTTTTAAAAAAATCAGAATATGTATTATTTAAAGAAATAACTCATTCGGTCACCATTGTTTATATTTAATAATAAATTTTTTATGCTAATATTTAATACAAAAATCATAAATATACCCAGGATTATGATTTTATTACAAGAATTGATTGATTATTGAGAAAGATTCCTGTCTACTTTACAAAGAACTTTTTTTTTTTTTTTTCTGCAACTGCGTTATTGTATATAAATTTTTTTTAAGCAATAAATATCAAGAAGTGCTATATTATAGAAAAATATAACATAAAATATTAAATTATCTTAATGGCCAAAATTGAGTACAGTAATAACTGAATACTGTTTAATCACTAAAAAATGTAAAGAAATAAATTTAAGGGGCTCCTGCCCTGATATGTACCATTTCAACAAAATCTCGTTCTTGCTAATTAAGCAAACATGTTATCTTTATCTAATGCAAAAATAAACTTAGTTTAGAGCCATAAAGTAACAATTCCTGAGAAAGAAGGAGATTCTGTTTTAGCTTTTCAATTAGTTCCTTGTGAGCAGGGTCTTTAAAATAAAAAAACCCAGCAAAGGATATTGAATACAAAGTACTTTATTTTTTATATGCAAACATAAATTGATCTTTAGCTATATATTGTTTTGAACTATTTTAAAACCACAAAAATTGTAAAAAGGCATGCATTTTTAATATCTCTAAATATTTAATCTGAAATCCCTGAAGAGAAGAAAAACATTTTGGTATATTATGTTTTCAATTCTGGAATCGCTACATGTCAAAAGATGTACTAATATAATTACCTGTCTTTTAAAGTATAAGTTGGTATGCTAGACAATCTTTGACACAAGGAAACGACTTCTGGAGTAAATTTTTCCAAATCATAAGCACTAATTTCTCGCTAAAAAAAGAAACAGATGATACTGGGATAAATTAACACGAAAACAAAAATATTACTATTTTGGAAAAAGTTGTGAATTCATAAATTGAATTTTAGTGAACAATTATTATTTTTAATCAAATAATTAAATAAAAGTCTAAAAAAAAAAGTCAACTAAAATAAAGAGTCAAGAAAAGATTTTAAAAAATGACTTACTGATAAAACTTCTTGTAGTATTTGACACATATTGATATAATCCAGATAAACTTGACCACCATTAGACCAATCTAAGATAGTATTGCTCCTCTCAGGGATAGATAACTCACTTAAATACTTCATGAGGTAATCATAATCCTCTAAGAAATAAGTAAAAAATAAAAAAAATTAATGATGTAAAGAATAAAAAAAAATTTAACTATTTTAAAGGCCAAATTTTATAATTGCCATAGTTAGAAAAATATACAATACCATTAATTACAGCATCAGAGGCTAGATATTTTATAACAATACTATGGCTTTCACTCCAGAATTCTGCTTTCAATAAATTCCAGGCTTCTTCTGCTTTTAGACCTAAATTATTAGCTTTCACAGCCTGAAATGCAAAATTGAAAAAAATTCAAATAAACCAAGTATAAAATTTTATTTCTTCAGTTACACAGAAACAAAATATTTTTTAAAAATTAAAAAATAATTACCTTGGCCTGGAAAATCCACTTTTCTGGTATCAATAACTGTTCTGTGAGGAATTTCTCCTTGACAATTACATCTTCATTTACTTCAAGGGAAATATTTCTTAATATCACATCTTTTACTTGTTTGATTCTCCTATTCAAATAATTAACAAAAAATAATTAAAATCTGCATCACACTTGAACATTGCTTAGTAATACACACCTAAAAAAAAACTTACCATTCTTCATCATCATGATGCAAAAGTACAAATATTGCCCAATGCCATAAATTCAATGATTCTAATTGTGATGCAAAATTCATGTGCAATGTGCTTGCTAAATCAACAGGAATAGTATATCCAATAGATGATAAGGATAAATGCAATAACCAACTAAAAATGAAAAAAAATATTTAGAACATAAGACTTTTTATTAAAAACTATTGGAGCAATATATTAACTCAAAAATTTTCCAAGTATGGTGTGGTGTTAAACTGTTCCAGAAATGAAATTTAAGAAAAATAGTAATTATCATGTTTTGAAATGACATTTTTATGGGATCTTGCAAAAAACATAAAAATTGTGATTATAACATTGTGCCAATCCCATAAAAATGGCATCTAATTAGTGCTTCACCAAATATCATCAAAAATTAGGACAAGTCATTAATTTTACTTATAACCCTCAATAAACATATAAAATCCTTTTAATCATGGCATAATAAGATAGAGATATAAGGCTTAATTATTATTCATTACTTTTATTCTACAAATTAAAAAAAATTATTTCAAAGATTAATTATGAAAATGGACAATGAACTGCACTTTAAAATCCTTTTAAGACTGCATAATCCTTAGTTCATTTCATAAGCAAGTCAAATGTTTTTATTCTGATAAATGAATATTTTTATAATTATTTATTTTTAAAAAAAACAGTGTTTTAAACAGGAACAGTAATTTTTCCAAGAAATTGTTTATTAAGAACAATTCAAATGAATTGTTCTTAATAAACAATTCACCCTTGAATTATTTAATAAAAAAAAAATTTTTAATTAACAGATGTTCCCATTCTATTTTTTTTCTCTTGGTAAAATAAAGATAACCAACTGTTTCATTGTATGTAAACTATTTTTTGTTGATTTGAAGCTGAAAAAGGTATAATAATACAATTTTTTTTATAACTGCTAGCTTCTTAATTTTGCCAAAGAATAAACAAAGATCCCTAACATAAAATATAACTTCTGATACTACCTGATTAATGATTATAGCAAAAATAGTATTTAAAGTAGTGCTTCCTCACAAAGTTGAAAGTATAACATTACTTTAAAAGAGATAATCACTATTCACTATTAATCCCTTGAGTACACTAGAAGACTGAGTTTTTTCATGCACTTGTTTTGCCTAAGTTATGGATGATGAATCTATTTCGTTATCTAGGACAAAATTAAACATATACATTCTTGTCCGTGGCAAGAGTGATTTGTAACAGTTGTAAGAGGACATTTCTTCCAGTGCTTCAGTGAATGCTGTTTGTGATAGACTGCCACAAAATATCAGAAATAAGTAATAAATTTTATGAAAGTTTTAATGAAAGATGAGACTTTGGGTATGATAATGATGACTATATTAAATTAAAAAATGTAAATTTTGAAAACAACGAATTAGAAAGTGATGATAACAGTGAAATATTATCAAGATTTCAAAGATGCGCCAGATGCTTACCAAGCAGTTTTAGTGAAGAATTGAGAGGGTAATGGATGGAAAGAAAAAAGAAAATCTTACTGATGTAAAATGATTACGTGCAATATCTGGGATGAATTCTATGTGTCTGTGTAGACTAGGTGATAATCCTAAAGGCTCGTTCCCACCGAGGCGAGAGACGTGAAGTTGCAAGAGGCAAGCGACCAAATTTTTTCGACCCCTTCACAGCGAAACGTCAGAAATAGCATTACGCCTAGTGAAAAACCGCTTCGAGTTGAAAGTTGGGCAACTCCACGCGGAGGACTGCAAACCGGTTTCAGGCGACCGCGGTGGGGTCAAATTTTGGTCGCTTGCATCTTGTCGCCTTGGTGAGCACGAGCCTTAAAGCTCTAGTTTTCTTTAAAGAAGTCTTGAATGAAGACTTTTTTAATATTATAGTAGATTCTTATTTAAAAAGTTTAAAACTTACGTTTATTATTATGTATGTCGCATTGCTAAAATAAATGAATTCTCACACAAAATGTATTATGCACATCACCAAATTAAGTCCATTACAAATGCAAAAAAATTTTCAAATTTGTACATAAGGTGTTAAAATTAATTTCAATGGAAAAAATACTTCAACTTTAATCTATGCATTTAAAATTTTATAATTTTTTTAGAATATACTTCATTTTTTATCGCATTAGTTAATCATAGTGAAAATTTTAAAATTGATCAACAAATAATTTTTTGTAATATATTTAATCAAAATAGCAGTTAAAAATACTTAATAGCAAAAGCTAACAATACAAACCTCAGTCTGTAATCTAAATGAGCAGTTGAATAAGTCTCTGGCATCAGTAATAAATCAAATCGATAACTTCTATCACAATACAGTTTCAAGATGTGATAGCAGGTGTCAAACATTATATCGAATTCTTCCTTTTCCGTTGGATCCAGGTCTTCCATATATAAAGGATAAGGAGGACGTGCATATTTACCATGAGGTCCAGTTCCCTACAAACAATATATTTTTTAAAATTTAAGACAATAAAGTTAGTGAAATTATTAATCATAAGCATTTTTCTGAAACTTTATTAGT